TATCATCGCAGGATGGAAGCTGTTCCAAGTAAAGCTGCCTTTTGCAATTGACTGGTGGTGATTTTGTCAATGCCGATGGTCCTCAAGTGTTTTGGGATTATTATATTTTTATCCTACCTTTTATAGGGCTTCATCACCTACAGACTTCCATACCTTTAGTACTAACTAGCCCCAACCCTGCTTAGTTTTCTAGATCTGCCACGGTTGGCCAGATGCTTCCAACAGCTGAAAATATTCAATAGCAGCCGTTTTTCATTACTTTATCTAAATTTTAAATGTAACAATGAATGAAATTCAATCTCAGGTTGTTGTTGTGTTGTTATTTTCCTGTCCCATCCAATTTTATGAATTTGGCCTTCAGCATATCACTCAACAGCCAAGCATAGATGTGGATTCCCACATGTCATTTGTCTATGCCTTCAAAGCCAATGAAAATCACAAGAAAAGAACAGCCCAGGTTTCAGCTTGGAAACAGTAAAAGGAAGCCAAAATGGCTAAGCCTGTGTTCTCTCTCTCTCCTAGCTTTAAAAGATCAGGAACTAAGGATATAGCCTGATATTATGACAGCAAATTAAAGTGGAGAACTTTATGCTTTCCTCAGAACCAAAAGAAGAGGCAAGGACATTCTAGTCAGAGTCATTAGGAAGAGAAATTTAGTTGCCAGATGATTTCTGATTTTCTGGCTAGAGCCAGGACACCAGAAACAGAGCATTTTTTCCCCCTTGATTGGACAAAACAACAGACCATTTTCTCAAGAGGCTGTATTCTATAAAACAGAGGATAATGGAAGGAAGGAAGGGGGCCTGCCTATCAACATCCAAACAGGAGGCTCAGATTATCCCTCTCCAAGCATTTTCTCTGCAGGAAACAACAAATATGAGCTAAATCCCAAGACCTTATTTAAGGAGATAATAAGTAACTAGTTCAGCTAGGCTGACTGTATTGATTTGGAATTCTGTGTTGCCTTCCCTTGTTTTTCCCCTTCCCTTATATTTCCATTTGCCAATGAATTCCCTTTTATATCTAGATATATGGTTTCGTACACAAGGGAAATTCTTTCATTACATCTTCCACGTGCAAGGCTACATGGTTGCACAGCTATCCCTTTGTATTTCAGGACTGGCAGAAGGTGGTTAAGTTTGTATTTCTGGCCTTTAAGAAAGGAGATCTAAACTGATTCCTTTTCTATTGCAGTTGGAATAAACAGAGTAAAAGAATAAGAATTTCCCAGCTGGACAAACTAAGCGTATCAGGAGGTTCAGCCTTATTTGGAAGTAGGGGAGAAATTGCCAGAGATGGTTGAATTATTCCACCTCCTCCACCTCCTAGTTTGTAAAATATACTCTTGCATACACAGAGCCAATACCTTTCAAGTCTGTTTCCCCTTCCGGAAAGAATACCCCTGAGCTATCACAGATGTAAATCCTGGCTTTAAAAAATCGACAGGAATATCCTCATGCCTCTGGAAAATTTTTACAAGCTCCACTGATTTAAAAAGAACCATGAATATCAAGTAATTTTAATTTCACTAAGTCCATTAAGAGTAAGGTTTTATTGGGGGAGAGCAAATCCTCACACTGCCCATAATGTGCGAGGTTCATTTCTCAGATTATTAAATTCATTCATTCATTCATTCATTCATTCATTCATTCATTCATTCATTCATTCATTCATTCATTCATTCATTCATTCATTCATTCATTCATTCATTCATTCATTCATTCATTCATTCATTCATTCATTCATTCATTCATTCATTCATTCATTCATTCATTCATTCATTCATTCATTCATTCATTCATTCATTCATTCATTCATTCATTCATTCATTCATTCATTCATTCATTCATTCATTCATTCATTCATTCATTCATTCATTCATTCATTCATTCATTCATTCTATTTGTATATTGCTGGATCTGCTGTGGACTCCCAGCACTTTACAATAATAAATCAACAATTAAGACATCCACAGTAAGAATGTACCAACCATTGTAAAAAATTGTATTGTAAAAAAATCCATAATAATATCAATACCGACAGAACAAATCATTAACCAAAATCAACAAAGGCCGAGGACTTACCCCATGGATAAGGAGACATCTGACTTGTGAATGGCAAGACAGATAACTTCACTCATGTCCAGCATGCCACTTGGGGTAGCCATCTTCTCATTTTCATAGTAACTCAAAAAGCCACTTTCCAAGACACACCATCTCTTACTGCCCTCTGCATTTCAAGATGGTTTAGTTTATTGACGGAAGCACAACCATTATCACATGGCAATTAGCAAATAATGAATGACTGAAACACACATAGCCAACAAAATGTTTACAATGAGTCTTGCAAAACTTAAATCTTCCATCTGCCTTTTACAAAAGATTCTGTGATTCAGTGATGCACAACAGGGAGCTAGTGATTTGTTAGCTGTTATTTTAACTTGTAAGGGATACCGTTTTTGATGTCCAGAATGTTTTCCAAAGTTATTTTATACTTAAGAATCTGGACTGGGGACGTCCTATGTTCAGATTTGGATGCTACATTCTGTTGGATGGTTTAAATGAATTGGGTCATGATGCTCTTAAAAACCAAGTCCCCACAGATGCTGTCAATTCAAATAAGACAAGTAGGATATCGAGACACAAATGAGTCCAACTGTCCCAGGCAGATGCTCAGGGATCAAATGGGCATCTCTTAAGTAGGATCTTGCCTGGATCTAAAACCAGTATTTGCACACTTCACATCTGACATAATGAACATATATATTTTACCAAAGCTTCTGTACCAAATCAGGCCCTTTGTACTTCCATCCTTTTCAGAAATAATCAGATCTGTAATTAATTAAATTACCCCACTCCCTATGCGTAGGCTCAGAAATAGCTGAGTCCAATTTCAACCAAGCTTTCAGTTAAACAAGTGGATGTTTTCACTGTTAATGGAAAAGCATGGAAAAGCTTATTCCCTCCCTTTTGATACTTGTAAACAGCCTCATTGAGTTGATACGGTGGCTTTTTTTCCCCCTTTAAAAAAGAAAAACAGAAGCTTTTAAAAGCTTCATATTGTATTTGCCAATTTCAGATTTATAGAAACCATAAAGACTCAAACAAGAGAGGGAGACCAAAAAAAAAAAAAAAAAAAAGCTTTTAAAAGCTTCATATTTTATTTGCCAATTTCAAATTTAAAAAAACCAAAAAGACTCAAACAAGAGAGGGAGACCAAAAAAAAAAAAAAAAAGCTTTTAAAAGCTTCATATTTTATTTGCCAATTTCAAATTTAAAAAAACCAAAAAGACTCAAACAAGAGAGGGAGACCAAAAAAAAAAAAAAAAAAAAACCATAGGTAGAAAAAAGAAGACACCGTCTGAACTTAAAAAGAAATGAAAGCTGCAGGGAAAAAATGTACCTTGACAGAAGTTGATTGCAAAATGAATGGCTGAGTCATAGCAAAAGGTGCTACTCTCCCTCCTAACCCACCACAAGTGGTGGAAACAGAGGCCAAGCCAGAGTCAATCTATTTTACACTGGTAGAAGGGATGGTAGAAAGCCTACTCAGGGTGGCGAAGCTAAGGAAAACAATCGATAGCTTTGGGGGGAAATAAAGGAAAAGAAGAGCCTGAAAAATCATCTCCCAAAGTATATTCATATCAGATTTGTAATAAATATAACCATGCAAGATTTCCTACAGTGTTAAAACTGACCAACATTACCTCCTACTCCCTGCTCTTAAAATGGGTAAAGGGAGGAAGAAGACTGTAGATGTCTTCCTTCCTTCCTTCCTTCCTTCCTTCCTTCCTTCCTTCCTTCCTTCCTTCCT